CCGGCGGGAGCCCCGAAGAACCGCGCGGACGGCCCGGCCCGGCCCACTCGGACCCGCGCGGCCGCGGAGGCGCCAGTCCCCTGGTGCGCCCGCCTGCCCTACCCTGCCCCTCCCTCCACACCGCTTCCCTCCTCTTTCCTCGGACCTTACCCCCTCTTCCCATCCCTCGTTCTCGTCCCATCTCTTCCCCCTCTTCTTCTTTTCCAGAAGTTTTCCCCTCATCCGAGCATTTACCGAGCACGGGAAAGCCCTTAGCGCCTTCCTCCCCACCCAGAACCCAAGCTCCAGTGGGAAGAGCGGGCCCTGTTTCGGTGGCCTTGGCAGCAGCAGGTCTACGCTTTCAGTGTCACCCCGAACCCTCACAAAGACCTGCGCAGTATGCACGGTTAGCCCGGCATCCATCAAGGGGAGCTGCCCAAAGGCACAGGGCGTCCCCACCGAACCGAGGCTGTGTGGCTGCTGCGAGGCTGCTGCAGCGAAGGCCCAAAGGCCGGCCGAGCAGGTATGCATAACGGTGGAGGGCAGAAGAGAGCCCTTCGTTCCATAAGACAGAAAGCTAAGGTGAAGTCATAAAAAAGTAGCTACGGAAGTAATTTTGAATAATTGTTAGCGACATGGAAAAATGTTTTTGACGTTATATGGTGTGTAGTGAAATAAAGCAGAAAGTATTTATCATTCAGATAATACAGGTCTTAAGACTTGGAAAAAAAAAATGCTTGGGTAGATGTGTTTATTTTCTCTTTCCCTAATTAGAATGCGAGGGGCCGGGATTATAGCTCAGTGGCACAACACCTGCCTGGCAAGTATGAGGTGGTGAGTTCGATTCCTGGTACAAAAAAAAAAAAAAAAAAAAGAACGCAAGCCCTGGAGGGCAGGGTTTTGCCTCTCCTCACCCCATTTTCTCCAGGGTGCTTGGCAAATAGTTTTCACTATTAGTTCATTGGATGAGCAAATGAACAAGATCTCAAAAGATACTGATTGCCATACTGAATAACAAAGCAATCACACAGTCATTAAAAATAATTGAAGATTGTTAGTGATCAAAATATTGTTACCCATAATAAGTACATAAGAAAGGTTGTGAAATTGAAACTACGTAACCAAACTTTTTTTTTGTCTTTTTGAGACAAGGTTTCAATATGTGGCCCATGCTGGCCTTGAACTCACTTTGTATCCTAGGCTGGCCTGGAACTCGCAGCCATCCTCCTTTGTCAGTCTCCCAGATGCAGGGATTACAGGAATGTGCCACCACACCCAACACCAAGGCACTGTTAAATGTTACCATTCTGTAGTTTGTATCATTCCTTTTTAGCTTGCCCAGCACACAATGAAGTCATCATAATGACTACACTCTTCAAACTCAATTCCCAGACACCTTCCACATAAGCAGAGTTACAGCTTCTCAGCAAACTGGGAGGGCCTGAATTCTGGCATGGTAGCACAGGCTGAAACTGGCCTTTTACTTGAGGCGATCTGCTAGCCCCTTTCCCAAGGGCTAGAGGTGGCCCCCTAACCACATTCAGCTACTTACTGAGTTTACTAATCTTAAAAGATGTTTTTCCATATATGGCCTGAGGGAAGATGTGGAATTTCAACTTGATTCTTTAAAAAACTATGTATGTGCCTATATCAGTTTATGTGCATAAGAAGTTGTTTTGGAAAGGAATATAAGAACATGGTAATTACCTCAGGGGGTGAGATTATGAAAGACTTTATAGATTCGTCTTTCTATAATAAACATGTCTACTATGAATTATCAGAAAACAATCAACAAAATATTTTTTAAATCAAGTTAATGTATTACAGTGTGAGAAAATGCCCATAATAAAGCTCCCGAGTGAAGGAAAGAGGATACAGAACTGAATCTGTGGTATGATGCTAATTTTGTGGGTAGTATATGCATGGGAAGAAATAGGTGTACATGAAAGCTGTAAGAATGAAGCACATAATATGAGGATAGCTACTTCTGGGTGGAAATTTCCTTTATCGTTCTCTGATTTTCTCTAACAAGCACCTTTCTGGAAAAGGCCCTTTTAAAGACAAGTGGAAGTTTCTGGGAGTTTTTGGTGTGATGCACTTTCCCAGGCTCCCTGCCTCTCCTGCGGTTGTCCTGCCAGGCCCAGCCCACAGGTGTTGGCCTGTGCTCTTCGGGCCTCTGCTTGCTCAGGGCCTGCTCTGCGGCCACCACACAGCCTGTCCCCCACCCCAGTGCCCCTTTGTCTTGCCCCCAGTGGCTCCACACAGAGCCTGT